TTGACGTCAGTAGTGGGGAAATTTCTTGACTCAATTATAGCAGATAGCATCCGATCGCATCTAGAGAAAAGCAAATTAATCTAATAATTAACGGTTTATTGAAAGAGCTTGGCAGCCAGAAGGCTGAAAATATACTGTTACATATTTGGGGAATGGGTTACGAATTACAAATAATATACAAGTAACATAAGTGACACAAATTAGACATATAATAACTAGATGTGGAAAAGCTCAAACTACAGTTCATTTCAACATAGTGACAGTGTAAGGAGCAGTGTTTACTGGGAGTGAATACACTGATTTATTACAAGTTATTGATAATTTTTACAATGGTTGGGACTGGGCTGTTCTTATAGCGATCAGTTCGTGCACGTTCTTCGACTCTCAACATGGGTTTGCAAAGGGAAAATCTTGTCTAACAAATCTGCTAACTATTTTTAGGAAAGTCTTCGAGGTAGTAGATAATGACGAAAATTACGATGTTATTTACTTAGACTTTAGCAAAGCATTTGACAGAGTACCGCATCAGAGGCTTCGAAAATTAAGGCTCATGGTATCGAGGGAAAGTTTTAAATTGATAAAATCATGGCTCACCGATAGAACGCAGAGGGTCAGCGTAGATGGTGTTAAATCTGAGTGGGGCCGTGTAACCAGTGGTGTTCCCCAGGGGTCAGTAGTAGGCCCACTCTTGTTCATAATCTACATAAACGATTTAGATACTGGGATCAACAGTGACATAATCAAGTTTGCGGATGACACCAAAATAGGGCGGCAAATTAATTCAGGGCAGGATGCAAATGCATTACAGGAGGATCTAAATAAACTGCAGGTGGTCTGAAAAATGGCAATGAAATTCAACACCAGCAAGTGCAGCGTACTTAATATTGGAAGAACAAATACTTATAATGTATACAGCCTTAACAACATCAACCTAGGGAAGTCGACTGAGAGACCTAGAGTACTTGTAAGCCCGGACCTACGGCCTAGAAAACAGTGCGTTAATGTTCGAAATAAGGCAAACATATTGGGTTTTATATCTAGAAGTGTGTAACAAGAGAGCAGAGGTCTTATTGCAACTATATTCTGCGCTAGTCAGGCCGCACCTCGATTATGCGGTTCAGTTCTGGTGCCCCTATTATAGAATGGATATAAATTCACTAGAGTCGGTGCAGCGAAGAATGACAAAAATGATTCGGGACTTAGAAACCTTCCATATCAGGATAGGTTAAAGAAACTTAACTTACATTCCCTAGAAAGACGAAGAGCGGGGAGATATGATAGATGTATTTAAGTGGGGAAAGGAATCAATAAAGGGATATAGATAAAGTTCTTATAATATCTGAGCAGGATAGGACTCGGAGCAACGGATTCAAGTTGTTTAGGTTTAGGAGGAGATAGAAGAACTGGTTTGTTGGACGAGGGATAGAACTTTGTAGTATTCTGAAAGTGAAAGGAGGCTAGATAGATTCATGGATGATAGAGAGTGGTAGTAACTCTCGACAGGAGCTGCCATGCACAGGCCAACCGGCCTATTGGAGACTCCTTATTTTCTTATGTTTCTTATGTTTTACTACCACTCTCTGTCATCCATGAAGCTATCTAGCCTCCTTTTAAAACTTTCCAGCGTTCCAGCACTTACTACAAAGTTGCTAAGCTTGTTCCACTCGTCCACCACCCTATTTGTGAACCATATAACACGCGGACTTTGAACATATAATCAACGACCTCACCAGCAAGGAATCGAACCCTCGACCTACTGGGTGGGTCCAGGGAACGCTTACCGGCTAGGCCACAGTTCTAGACTCTGTTATGTTTCACACACAAAGCCTGTTCATCGAGCTGATGGCGCCGTGAACCTCATTGGAAAAGTGCCCGTGCCTCTTATGTGGTGTCAGTAGCATTTTACCGAATGCAGCTGGTATGAAACACGAGGTATATATATATACTTCATTTAGTCCATATAACACGCGGACTTTGAACATATAATCAACGACCTCACCAGCAAGGAATCGAACCCTCGACCTACTGCGACTAGGAACGCTTACTGCTAGGCCCTCAAGGACACTAAAAGCAGTTCTAGACTCTGTTATATCACACACAAAGCCTGTTCATATATATATATATATATATATATATATATATATATATATATATATATATATATATTTATATATATATTTATATATATATATTTATTTATATATATATATATATATATATATATATATATATATTTATTTATATATATATATTTATATATATATATATATATTTATATATATATTATATATATATATATATATATATATATATATATATATATATTTATTTATATATATATATTTATATATATATATATATATATATATATATATATATATATATATATATATATATATATATATATATATATATATATATATATATATAAATTTTTTCATAGATCCATGTAGAAACGTGGACAAGATAAATATTGATAAACCACACAGGGGCCCTCCTTTTCACCAGAAAATTCCAGTAGTTTGTCTTCAATGCAGTATTGTACACAGATATTTGTGTTTAGTAAAAATTATTTAATATTGACTTCACAATATCCCCTAATATCAAGTGTGCAAGGCTACAAAATGTCCTCAAAATGCCCATGATATTGGTCAGATTAAAAAAAAATTATTTGGGCTTACAGCGCCCCCGCAAACACCCCAACTGGGTGGACTTGCTGCCCTCGCTGTGTTCCCACAACTTCTTGGACCAACCCCACCTTTTATTATTCCTGTATCCGCCCCTGATATGCAAATAAATCACTGTAGGTGGGCGTGATCCATGTTCAGTATATCCTGATAACTACATAAGAAAAAAGAAAATACGAAGTTCCCAAGCGCTCTCGTGTAATTCACTAATCAGGAGTCGAACCCGGGACCTCTGAATGTGAACAAGAAGTGCTACCACGGCGCCGCAAGGGCAATATATACCAGTCTATACACGTACATTTTTCTCTGACCGAGGTCGTCATAGTCAAATAAACTTTTCTTCCGGGAACGTCTCTGCACCCAGTGACAAGCGCTCTTGACGGGAGGTTCCTACGTCACTCCTCTCATGCGCACCTTTGTTCACCCACCAGTAAATACTCGTAAATAAGACCCAGTGAGCGTAAGTAATACCCAGTGAGTGTTAATATGACCCAGCGAGCGTAAGTAAAGCCCAGTAAGCGTTAATAAGACCCAGCGAGTATTAAAGGCTCCTGAAAAACCTTTCAAAGCTTATTTTTCACTTCGAGAGACTTTTGTTGGTTTTTTGTTTGATATGAATATGACAATTTAACGTCGAGGACGTTTTTCCCCCCTTTGTTAAGCTGCATTAAGGCCACTGTGATGTCTTCCTGGTGCATTCTCTATAATTCTCTCTTTGATCCTTTATGTTAGGTAGTTTTATTTAATCACAAAGTTATTCTATCTATACCGTTTACGTTATTAAATATAACTGAAAAATGAAAGCAACAAACTGTCTCGAGTGGGTTATATTTTAATTTAATTTCATTAGAATTGTTGCTCAGGGAATATTTATAGAGTAAGAAAAGAGTTTGACCAGTCGTCTATCTGCGACTGGACCAAACTAAATAAAGAGTACATATGGATTATGGTGTTGAGTTTAGAAATTTGTTTATCAATACGATAATGAGTTATGACTACCATTATTTTGTATTCTGATAAGTTGATCATGAAAATGTGATTAAGGTCATATGTCGTTTCATAAACAGGATTACATAGCTCAGTAAGTTTGATCCACAAATGACAGCAATTAGCAGCTAGGAGCACCTGAAGATTAGTTACCCTAACTTATTTTTCCTGAAAATTAACCACCTTTAACTCTAACCTAAACAAATTTAACCAAACCTAACCTACCCTACCACCCCCAGGTAGTATTAGGGTGTCTAATCTTCAGGTGGTTCATAAGCTTAACCGTCACGGGAAGTATAGGAAGGAGAGAGAAAGGGTGTGTGAGAGTGTTGAGTGAGGGAGTGGTAGAAGGGAGGTATAGGAAGGAAAAATAAATGGTGAGTGGGAAGGATATATCGTGTGGTGGAAGGAAGAAAGGAAAGTTATTACTGACACACATCAAGGACTGTCCTCTGAAGTTCCCTTTCTCTACAACAAACTTGACTCTGAAGTGAAAAGAATCTTGACGTAAGATAATGTACTCGATGTGGTTTGCTATGTCTGAGGTGATAATACGTCAGGGCTAATAATCTGTGGTATTTATTAAGTCAAGTAAAAATGGAAAGTTCACAAAAAACTAATGAATGATGCTTTTGGAAATATAATGGATAAGGAGTACAGGTATGAACTCGGTGGTGTAATGATTATTTCCCCATCTCTTTCTCTCTTTTTCACTCACAGTCCTAGAGGCTCTGAATAGCAACACACACCTACAGGAACTCACCCCCCCCAACCCAAACACACACCTGTAATGCAAAAATATGAAACAATCTTAAGGATTAAATCATCAGTATAAACTACTGGAATGAAAAACAAATCATAAATACCCTATTTCAGTGACTCCTGAACTCTCGATTTGACTAATTTTGACCCCCCAAAAAATCCGGTGCTGAAGTATTAACTAATCCGAGTAACTGTAAGAGAGTTTCTAGTGAGAGTTAATTTACTCGTGAAACCAAGCGAGTTGACCGTAAAGTATTAGCTGCACTGTCGACTGTCTGTCTAAAGAAAGTATATAGGTATCAGACATAAACTGCATAGCTACAAACTCTGACAATTAGTTTATATAGACGGTAAACTATGCACTGCGTCTAGATAGAGCCAGTGTATATATTTATCAAACTGAACAACGAATATAAAATTGTCATTGTTATTTTCTAGACGAGGAGATAGTGTCTGTCTCACAATGGCTTTGGTGAGGGTGGTGGTGCTGGTGGTGGTGGCGTATCTTATCTGAGAGTCGTGGGGGACGCAGCGACAGGAGTGACTTTGTTGTGAAGTAAGTGAATTCTGAATCAGGTGGTCGCCATGAAAAGTGTGGCTGGTGCTAGTGTTTACGCTGACAGTACTCAAGGCAACAACCTGGGTCATGTTCCCAAGCCAGCAGGTAACCCTTACTCTCTGCCTGTACGTGTCTGTGTAATAATAATAATTAACGATTTATTGAAAGAGCAAGTGTGTGTGTGTGTGTGTGTGTTGACAGGTTGTTGTTGTTGTTGTGTGTTTATAATGAATTAATTTATCTCTTAACATTAATTTGAAGGTTAATGGAGGAGTTTTTGTTCACGTCTTGGCCAGGGAAGTAATTTAGAAACCGAGGGGTTAAGTTAACACTCATTCAGTCACTCAGAAATATTTAAAATTTTATGGAATATTACTACAACCATTGAATCAGTCAGCCACTGATCGAAGACAAAATTTACTGTTTGAAAATTGAGGGACATAAGTGAAAATGACTCGCTTAATGTATCTGAGGCCAAAGCGTCAAAGCCAGTAGCCATGACATTACCTATTAAATAAAGCAACAACTTTAATGTATTTTAAGGCAATCGATATTATGTTCTTCTATTAAATGAATACAAGTTAAGACAGTACTGTACCTCACACTATCAGCTGTTTGATCCAGTGAGAGTTAACACCTCTTTTCATTGGCATTTTAGTTTTGCATAAAATTGTCAAGTAGATCAAAGACGTACGCCTTTTATCTAAGTTGTTAATGCATTTATGTATCACCTATTATAATATTAACCTATAAACAAGGCCTATAAAGAGTGTGATCATGAGGTGATATCAGTGTGGTGGTGACAGGGAGGTATTACTTGCCCCTGCGGTACGTGGCGGCGCTGTTGGGTCTGCTGGGGTGTGCTGTCGACTACCTAGTGAAGTTCAGTATCAGTGTGACCCTCGTGGACATGGTCAACATCACCACCACCCCAAACATCATCTTCAACCCTTGTCCTGCTGCCCTGGACGCCGACGACAACAACGATGCCACCATGGTACTTCACTTCTGTTGTTGGCTATGTATAAGTAGTGAAACATGAAACAAGAACACCCCATATCTCTTCCAATTGATAATGAAAGAGGTACATCGATTACGACTTCTGTCTTCAAGGCGATTATATCTCACTCAAACGATTACTAAATAAACGATCTAACCTAACCTAACCTAACCTAACTAATCGTCTAAGCGGGATGGCAAAATCGCATAAAACAATCTGTCACTGCTGTCGGTAATCTAATTAAACATAAATTGCAGTAGTCACTCTCTTACGGTCTTGAGATCTGTGCCACTAACTTATTCACACATTTGTTTTAATCTATCCAATTCCTGCCCCAGCCTTACTCTTCAGTCCTTGCTGTGTTTCTAGAAGAGCTCTCTCACCATCACAGAGCAATGGTGAGTACAGCTGGACACCACTGCAGCGGACAGCCGTGCTCACCACCTTCCTCTGGGGTTACTCCATCACCAAGATAGTAGGTACGTGGTGATGTCTTAACCCTCGCGTGATATTGACAGTTTGACTCTTCCTAAATCAAATTCTTAGTAAGAGATAACCTGAAGATTAGCCCCCTTAGCTTACTTCACCTTAAGATGAACCACCTTAACGTAACCTAACCTAATTTAATCTAACCTAACTTAACCTAACCCTTAGATAGAGCTAGGGTGTTTAATCATGAGGTGAAATAAGGTGGTGGGGGCTAATCTTCATGTGATCCATATGAGTTCTGGTGGTATGGTGTAGTTCGTTACCTCACCTTTGTTGAAGATTTCGGATATATAAAGACTGACCGACTTCACGAGGAATAATATCCAGACTCTATTGAGAACTGTTTGAGGGACAGACATGAACACAACAACACTATGGCAAGAGATGAGCTGTCTCTTTCTTTATTTTATTTTCCTCTTGTTATATAAGTGTTTCTCTTTGTTTTCCTGTCTATCCTTACTAATAATAATCTTGTTTTGACATTAGAATACTTTTATATGAGTTTTTCTTTCCTCAATTGTGTCAAGATTGTTAACCTTTGTTATCCCATCCTTTAGTCATTTATTTTGTATTTTTATTATTTTTTTATTCATTGGTAATGTTATGTATAACACCACATTCTCTACTCGTGACCTTTCATATTCCTGTTCGGGCTTCGTGTGTGAGAGATACACACTGCTTCATGAGACCACGACTGTGGTTAGTTTATTAGAGACATGGACGACGCTACGTATAGTGTACGGCTGTACAGAGTTGTTGTTTCTGACTCACCCTCCATTACCTGTCAGTTGCTATGAATGTCTTCAAATAGGAAGAATCAATCGACATAATTAACCAAAGTTGTAACGGTAAGCAAACTCACTTCCCAAGCGAGTAGACCCGGGATCGATCCCTGGCCATCCTCGAACATTAAGGGCAACCATTTATATTATCTTGTGTGACATTCGTAGAACCTCTCATGGGTGTCATCCACAGGTGGACGCATCGCGGAGGTGCTGGGCGGTGGAGACGATGGGGTGCTGCTTGACGGTGTCTGGGTTACTCTCTCTTCTTTGTCCCGCCGCTTCCTACCTCCACCCCTTGGCTCTGGCCGGCGTGCGTCTCCTCATGGGGTTGATCCAAGGTCCCGTCTTCCTGCCCCTCTACAGCGTCCTGGCCAGCTGGTCCCTCCCGGAGGAACTGGCCACCATGATATCTGTCGCATACTCTGGTGGGTCACTCACACGGTTGTTATCTGCTGCTTGTCTCTTGGTCGTTGCAGTTTTGTTATTTGATGGAGTAAAGATTTGACAAGTTACTCTGACTTGTCCAGTTGGTGTGTGCATGTGGCAAAATTTTCATCCGATCATTAAGCAAATTCACAGCTAAACGGCCCAAACCTAGAATAAGCACTGCACCACTTTGGCTAACATCAGACAAAGGTCAAGGTCAAAGGTCATCAAAAAAGTCATATTTCAATGTTAGTGTTTCAATGAACCGATCTTGACCAAATTTTTACAACTGAAAGACATGGCGATGTATTACTTTTCGTCAAATAGAATCAAAATACCAGGTCGAAGATCGTTGACAAATCATTGCACTGTAGCTTACCAACAAACCCTAATATCACGATATCTTCTGGCCAGGGAGGGCACTGGGGTCACTGGTGGGCGTGGCTGGGTCCCGGTGGGTGGTGAAGAGCCTAGGGTGGAGGTGGGTGTTCTGGGGGTGCGGTGTGCTGGCTCTCACCTGGGCGCCCCTCTGGTTCATCTTCGTCAGGAACTTTCCGTACGAGCACCCGTTCATTTCTGATAGAGAGAAACGGCTGCTGTCATTAATTCACGTGCATCCTAAGGTTAGTGGTGGTGTTGGTATATATATATATATATATATATATATATATATATATATATATATATATATATATATATATATATATATATATATATATATATATATATATATATATATATATATATACAGAGATGATCACATTACTTAGCTGTTAAGTGTATGACTGTGATAAAATTTCGCACTGAACATAAAAAAAAATCCTTCGCTTACCTCAAAATTAGTTGTTTCATTTTTTCAGCCGGATACAACACCAAAAGGTCAAAAGGTATTTGAAGTAATAGATGGTTTTCAGTTTGTGTTGTTTACATAATTCATAATAACCCTAACACGTTCGAGTTGTGTTACCGGTATTGACCTGACATTCTCGTGTACAAGATGAAGCATAAGCTACTTTACCGGGAACTGTAACATAGGTGCAGTGTTCTGGGTAAAGTGACTTAAGCGTTGCGCGTCCTGTAGTTCCCCCTCTCTTCCTCTCCAATACGCCCTCTAATCTTCATCCCCAACACGCCCTCCACCACCACATGATCGACCATCGGTGCTTGCCCTCTCCACTCCTTGCACACCCTCCACGCCCCTCACACCTCATCTATCACTACCTGGCGGGGCGTACAGCGGAGGGTACCCTGGACACGTGTGGCCATGGGCACGACCATCTACCTGCTGATGTTGATGGAGACTGGCAATATGTGGGTCCATAACATGTTCGTTAACGAGACTCCAACCTTCTACATATATAAGGTATGTTCCCTCGTCTCCCAGATAGATAGATAGATATGTCAATAGATAGATAGATAAGGGCGAGTGATAAGAGGAAGGTCACTTTCCATCACTCACTAAATGACTCGAGGATAATTGTTTTCCCTTGCGAACTGCCAATTCTTAACACTTTGCCTTAACTAGTACCCGATGAATGATTTACACATCTAAAATCATAAGCTAGCTGTTGTATGATATAATATCTTCAATGTAAATAAAGATATTAATTATTTGGAAGTGATTGCTTGGACTTGAAGCATCACCTGTGTGTGTGTGTGTGTGTGTGTGTGTGTGTGTGTGTGTGTGTTTTCTCCAGATCGGGATGAGCTTGGAGACGTCGAGGTGGGTGCGAATGGGATGGTCGGGTGTATCTTGGGTCTTCTGTTTCCTCTATGGTATGATATCTGACCTCATCGTTCGCTACCGCTTCCTCTCTCGGGTCACACGCAGGTTCATGCATCTTATAGGTAAGTCTCTCTCCACCACACCTATCTTCAGAGACTTAAGCTAGTAATTAGTCTTTACCTGTCTCGCCTAGAAGCTGCTAAACAAACAACCATATACCTCGTCTCTACACAGGTAAAAACTTAATGACTTGTGCCATTACTTCTTTATTATACACAAGTTAGACCTTAGTCATAAAAGTAAATGGTTCCCCATACATTTATTTACGTATGTCCTTTTCCATCTCTTTATCAAGTAAGCTATTCACTTGTTTATCGATTACTCTGTTAACCTTATTCTCTTTGTATTAATATGGGGTAGAACACACACACACACACACACATAGTAAGCATAATGAAGGAAAGACATGAAACAAGTAACAAAACAATGTATCGCCTTTAAATCCCCAACCCATATATAGTTAAAACAAAGGAAACAAACAAACCAAACTCTGAACTTAACATTAACGTCACCTAAAATGATGATTATTTATGAACACACGATTACAGAACACAACAAACGTGATCACTAAACTAAAAATGAAACCTTATCTAACCCGAATATTACATATACAAAATGAACAATAACGATATTGACATCAGCTGACTGAGCTGAGTCTGTTGAATAATGAAGGTTCCTGTTTCCCCCTTCTGCTACAGGTATGATGTTGGTAGTGACGGGTCTGGTAGGTGTGATGTGGTCGGGGTGTAGGACAGACTTTGTAGTGGGCTTCATGATGTTCCCGGTTTGGGGTCACCACCACCAGCGTCACTTACCAACTCACGCCTATGGACATCGCACCTAACTATGCCGGTAAGTTATACTGTTTTTGTCAGATGATTGTGTTTGTGTGAGTGAGGGAGAGATGATGTTTGAAGTGGCTTAAACAGTGTGTAGGAAGACCCGAGGATGAAATATTAACAAAACATTGAAAGTGAAGAGTAAACAAGCAGTGTAGACGAAAAGTTAACAATCAATACAGATAAAGACAAAAAAGGGTTAATGAGCTACATGTTACAGGTACACTGGTCGGCTTGGTTGGACTGGGTAATCTCGTTGGCTTCGTGGCTCCTATAACCACCATCTTGTTTAACTCTCAGGTGAGATACACACTACCAGCATCCGGAAGCCTTACCTGTACATAATTGCGTATTGATCTAGGAATACAAGTACAGTATATGTGGATGTATTGTACAAATAGTGTTTAGGTCGATGCTACTATAGCGTTTGGTCAGTGACCTGTGTCCGGGTGGGCTAATCCCCATAATAAAAAATACTAGTACCGTTTAGCTATTTGTTCGTATATTACGTAACAGATATATTCTTTTAATTGTCATAAATCTTTCAAAACAGAGATATATAGACCCACATATTTTATTAATCATTACGGGATGTCACCTGCTATGTAATAGTCCATTGTCTTGCTGGGGGAGTTGTAAGATTGTTCACAGAGTTTGTCTTCCTCCGGCAGCCTAATGGTTGGGATGCCATCATCTTCTTCAGCTGTTGTCTTTACCTGGTCTTCAGCCTATTCTACGTGGTTGGTGTGACAGCAGACGTACAGGACTGGAACTTTTACGAAGAGATTGATGGTGACGAGGAGCAGCCAGCAGTGAGTGAGACACCGAGGCCTCGACCAGCAGCACTATGACACGAGACAGTAATCCTCAGCGAAGATAAAAAGGCGATTTTTTTTATACCCCGAACCATAATAACTGTACTAACTGAAAATTCAAGAAATAATTAACTGTAAACAATGACAAAATGACTAACAAAATCTCACCAACAGAAATATGCTAAACAATTTATACTGTATCACATTATGATATATTTGTCTGATGTAATTTATATGGCCATCAGTTTAAATTGTATCCAGTCAACTTTGTCTTAAACCGTATCTACTTTAACCTGCTGAAACTACTACCTATCGTTTTTTACCTCCACTAATAGTATAAGAAGCATCATAAATCATCTTTTTCTTAGTTTATTTGGGCTCTGCTAACTGATTCCTCTCCATTATAAATCTTAAGACTTCTCAAGTATTACAGAATGATACAAACTCAACGAAATGAACAAAAATAAAACAAAATTAACAACAAAACTTTAAAAGGGAACCATATGGTTGAGGATAAACTTTTATTGTAACAAAAATAAACAAGAACGCCTTTTTTGTGCTCAATGACTTTGGTATATATCATCGTAACCATTTCAGTATAAACCACAAGCATTAAAAACATCAACAATAAGTCATCCTTTTATTGCTCAAGCTGAAGTTATATTAGTGTATATGACTCATTACACACTTTATGGTATGTGGTATAAGGTTGGGTACTGACCTCCTCCTCCTCATGGCGAAGTCGTTCATCTTGTCTCATTAAACTCCCGAGATATGTGTACATCATTTAGAGTTACCTTGGCACCCTCCGCTCTCCTCTGCTCAGTTCTCCTGCACTGAGATGTCCCATTAATTCTGGTTTGCCCGTTTAGCAGTAATTAAGGCCAGGTAATCATCATTTGAGAGGCAGATTTAGATTTCAATTATCTGCCAGTAATTATAATGAATTCCACTTCATTGCTTTCAATTAGTGAGCCATGATAGTGTAATTAGGTGAAGTTATTTATGTCCACTCATTAATTAATTGTTGATCAAAATGTTAGTTATTCGTATCGATCTTGTTATGTACACAAAATTATTATTATTTTATAAAATTTAGTGATTTAAAGAGATGCAGTGTATAAGTTGTCTTACCTGCTGGTCTAATGTGATGACTCAATGACCACAGAATACCAACAGAAGGGTGAAGACAATACAATATTTCCATAACAATGATAAAGAATAATAAGAACAAAATAAAGATTACAGAGTGTATGGTTATCTTTTAATGTTTAAACAATGTACGCCGTGTGTTCTTTAATAATATCCTAGGTAAGTAGTGCAAATGAAAATTATATATTACTGTACATCTTGAATCTTTTGGCACGGTGCACTCTGAGAAAATTCACTTAGCACCACACACAGACACACACACACACACCAGCTCCTCCCGACGAACCTGGTGCCACCGTCTCTGGAGGCCTAATTGATTCCATCCTGTTGGTGGAGTCTGGTTCCTTTCCGTGTACCCCCTTGACCCCATACTAGCAGTAGGAAGGTCTCTTGTCTACCATAAATGCCACCCCACTCTGTTTGTGTGTAGGTCATATCATATAACTACTAATGTGAAATTTTTAATTATTAGACAAGTACTGAGAGATACAATATAATGAGAACCAACTGTCGAACATAATCAGTGCTGAGAGACATGATAACTGAAGTGGGTTTTCTCGTCTGGTGACTCATTGACCTACCTATACCTGTCCCACCACCACCTATAGACCTTCTCCCATCACACATCTGCAAAGTATCATCACCTAACACACCTGAAAAACCTCATCACCCATACATACACATACACACCTACAGATATTACAAGTAAGAAAATCAGTAAGCATTGGTGGAAAATTATATAATGAAATTACTAAATGGTTGCAGGAGGAGAGGATAAGATTACGTCTATTCATTTATCTTCTGTATAACCACCTTTCCATAATCTCTCCTCGCGTGATTGATCTAGATTCTAGATAAAGCGAGTTTGTGTGAAGAATATTTTGGGGCGATGATAATATTCCTGCATTCACCTGTCTAATTAGGTTTCAGACTGTTACCTGGATTTATGGGTATTTTCGGGTCTATATTCTTTCATACTATTATTAACTCTCACCAAATAACACCCACGCAAGTAAGGTTATTATTTCTTATTCTTATGGAAGTTTAAATGAAGGTGACTTGATTAAGCTTTTAAATATTTATTGTAAATTTGGGTAGTCTTTAAGTGTTCACGAAATGTCCCAGAAACGTAAACGCGATGAAGTTGTGAGATGTTCTGTGATGCACATCCCTCCACGCACGAGAACACCCATCAGGCAGGTTGGTTAAGGCCGTCACTGGACGGATTAAAGATAGCCAAAACTGTTCATCAGTAAACAATATATATTTTTGTTTTACTGGAACTTTATGACTTTGTTTCTTAATGCAGACGAATGACTTACCCAAGCTTGTGTTGTTGTTATTATTCTTACTGTCGTCCTGAAAATCCGTTTGCAAAATTTTACCATGTGTGTGTGTGTGTGTGTGTGTTTATTTGGGTGTACATATATTCGACAGTCTTCAGCACGTTCACACGACACCAAAAGTTCTTTCACTCTCAATTTGTTTCGTAGGTCGCTGACCCTCCTCGATTACGTTAGAGCTCTTGCCTGTCTGCAGGGAATCGTTTTGAAAGACGACCTTTTTTATCTATTTTCCCTTGAGGTTCCAAAAATCATTGTTATTTCTAATTGAGGGAGGTCACGCCAAGGGTCCTGGTCACGCCTAGAGACCTTAAAATGTCGAGTATATAAATTTAAAAAAAATTAGGTTAGGTAAACATTGGTCTTTCTTTGAATCAGATAATAAGATTTAATTGGATTATTTTAAAATTGGAATTCTTGTAATGTCATTTCATTTCCGTTTTAGATTAGAAAGATCATGATTTTGTTGAATCCTCATTTCCTTCGGGTACAGTATGTCATGACCACGTGAGGTTATGTGTATGGGTGTTGGTATACAGTATTTAAATTTATTAAGTTTCGTAGAATGGATATAAAAAAACAGGAGATATAACAGTCATAATTTATTATTGATGTTGACTGGTGCAGTTATTAATCTTGAAGACCATTTTTGTTGAAGCACAGTAATATATTGCATTATAACATCATCAATAATAAGCTTTTTCTTTTTCTTTTTGTTAATGTAAAGATTTTTTTAATTAGATTGTGTTGTCTCATTTTATATAAAAAACTGAAGTTTTATGTATTGATTGATTTTGTGTATTATTGTAATTTTTATGTACTGTATATATATGGTATATAATATTTTTCTCTCCACCACTTTGTTTTCTAATCTCTAACTTCCTTGAGAACCTATCCATGGCAGTTGTTGTCGAGGGATCCATCTCTCGCTCTTCTCTATACCAACAGTGGTGTCCCACAGGGTTCCGTTCTTTCACCTACTCTTCCTTATTTTTATTAATGATTTACTTCACACTGCAACTAATTATATCCATTCTTACGCTGATGATTCTATCACTCTTCTTCACATTTTCCCCTTCCCACTAACTCTCAAACTAGATCTGCTTCTAGAGCTGATATCATTACATCTATCAATGTGGATCAGTGTAGCATCTCCGAATGGGGAGGTAGAAACGTGGTTAAATTCAAAAGTAATAAAACTCAGTATTACCCGAAGGTGGAGAGAAAATAATAGTTTACGTTGTTGGATAAGGAAAGACATCTGTATAATTAGCGATATGGCTGATGTTTGTATAGATACACTTCCACTGTCTGGCTCTTCCCTGTCTGTCTGGGTCTACTTTTCTATCTCTGTCTTTTACCTGTTTGTTTCTTCATGTCTGTCTGCCTCTACCTGTCCATTTATGTCGAATACTCACTCAGCCTCGCCCACAAATTATATCATAAACCTAAGTATTATGGCACTACGGACCTCGCCAGCTTTCATATATATATATATATATATATATATATATATATATATATAATTCTCATGTAGTATTGTGAACGAGGTAAGAAAGGTGTCTCCCATGAATCCAAATTATCTTTTAATGAGATCAGTCTATCTTATCACATCACCTCGCTACACCGGTAAAAATTTATGAAGGGATATAGTTTTTTTATCACTGCGGTGTTCCCAAGGGTTCGCTGAACACCCTCATGCTAAATCTACTTTAACGAGTACCCCTCACTGCCTCATCATCCTTTTATTTCCCTCCCCGCCCCACCCTGACTGGAATATCTACTCTCTATCTCCTACCTCTCACTCAACTGTACTGCTACTCTTACTTCGGTCTCAACCCATTACTTCCTCTCCTCCACCTATACTTCCCTTGTAATACTCACCTCTCGCTGAACATTCCCACCTTCCCCACCCTTCAAGATCACCCACCTTTCACTCCGTACCCCCTGTCCACTTCCTCTCTCCCACCTTACCCACTCGTGAGGTTAAGGGAGGGTCACAATCTACTCACACCGTCCAGTTTCTTTTAGTAGGGGATTGATATTTGTCATTCAGTCTTGCTTCAGGTGGCGGTAGAAGAAGGACGCGTCGGGAAGTCTGCTGCACCATGAAGGTCTTTCTGAGTATTTACAGTAGTCAAGATTTTTATTATGAATATTGGTTGTTAATTATTCAGACCATCGAGATGTAGAGATGTAAGCCTTTTTGTTAACGTAAAGGCTGTGTAGTTTTAGAACGCTTGTGATATTATTATTATTATTATTATTATTATTGTGTGAGTGTATGTCTCTCCTGATCCATGTATTTAAATTCTATTTTACTTTATATATTTATTTACGTATCTAGTTATATGTGTAGAACTGCCTTAACCCAATCACCCTCTCACCCCCTTGTACAGTATTAGTGTGGTGGGCTGCCCTTAATGCCTGTGCTGGTAGTAGACGGTCCCAGCAGCAGGGTGTGGGTGAGGTCTCCAGTGTGTACTCCCACCACACACACTGGGTAACGGTAAGTGTTCATGGTAATGTCTTGGTCATAAGGCGTCTACCACCCTAGGGATTAAAACTTAAGATGGTTTATGTATTGCACGTCGTCGTTATATTTAGATAGATAGATAGACAGACACGGTACCAATTCGTACGGTTATATCATGTTGGATAGGGGGGGGGAGCGGTCATATAACCGCGTTCTACAATCTCTGACCCTCGTCGTGCAGGTGACCAACACGAGGGTGGTGCCATGGTGACGCCCGTGACGAGTACACAGTACTGGAGCTCCAACATCTTTACTCCGTCACCCACCTACACACGGCTACCTCCTCGCTCTACCTGACGGAGGTGGTTGTTGACACGGCCTACGTCACGCACACCAGGACCTCAGCCCACTACCTCACTACCTCACTGAGACCTCCTCCTACACCCACACCAAAGGCAGTCAGTGTCTTGGTCTATCTATCTATCTGTCTGTCTGTCTGTCTATATCACTGGAAAGTCATCAACAACAGTATTCAGTCCCATCAATTAAAGTCGAAATATGTTGAGATATAATTATGTAAATAGACTCATTACCGTTCTATATGCAAATTATTATGCTAATTTGTTTATATTTTAAGGTTATGTTGCCTAGAGGAAATAACTTTACCTATGATTTTTATGTCGCCTCTTATCTTTTTTTAATATTTTTAGTGAAATTAACCCACGTCTCCTCTCTTCCACTCAATTAGACGAAGACGTGGAGTGAATATGTGACGACGACGCAGACGGTGTAGTATGGGGTGTACCAGACACTCATAGAGACTGGCTACGACCAGGCTTGGGTGGTGGCGACGGTCACTCATACGCGTGAACCCTCCTGTGTGTGGGGATGAATTGATCATTTATTTTTGCTCAATTGATCTTTCTTTGCCGGTGTGTTTTTCTGTGTCTGTCTGTCTGTCTCTTTCTACACCTCTGACGACCGTTGCACAACTGACGTCATATCAATCTATTCATTTCGTTTCCACACACTTCTCTCACCTTTTCATTGATCAATTCTGAAATTCTATTTCAAAACACCACCAGCAGCAGCAGCGTCCTTTGCCAGAAAAAAAATAAATATAAAATCAAAAGCTCTGTAACCCAAATACTTTCATTTTCGATCCCCTTTACAGGTATAGCGGCCGTTTATGTTTCACAAGAGTCGTCACAAATGGCTGGGTCAGAAAATGTCCCCGGCTGTTTTTTACCCATGTTTATGTTTCACGGAAAGTTGTTGCCATTTAATGGAATGGAGTGTGGC